ACCCATTTAATTAGAGCAGGTAGTTGTACCGCCCTCTAGTGGAAGAGAATGTTATTGTTCCGCCCGTTACTCACGCCGATAGCTTAGAGGACCAATCAGGTGGAACCAGATAACCGTCCACGGCACACCTGTGGATCACCTGACACACCTATGTGCCCGGCCCAGTGGTTGGGAAACACTGCTGTAATGGCGTGGAACAATTCAACATTATATAGCATCATGCTAGCTTGATCTTAAAATAAATAGTGACAAATTACATTAGAAGCAATATCAGGAGACAGATCGTCCCGAGATTTTGCTCTAAAATCTAAAAGAAATGTTTTAAATATGCACCTTTTACTGCGTCAGGTCATCTATAGGCACACAAAGCTACCCAGACATACGACAATTAGATGTTGAGGGCACATTTGTGTATATCAGATACTCCCATTTCTGAAAATCGTGAGCTTCCTAAAAAGCCTGCTGTAAGTGACACCAACAGGAGGCCAGAGAGCCAGCAGATCATTATTAAGCCCAAATGAATCAAACCAATCTACACTTTGGCCGTATTATTGTTTTACATGATAACAGGACTCAAACTTCAGACGTTTTAAGAGACACAGATGGCAGCAGATGCACACAACAGCAGGAAGTCTTACTGCGAGTGGAAGCACCATTAATATTTCTCACAAGAGAAATGACCTCAACTTTTAAAAGCAATACAGGAGAGAAAAATGCCAAAGAGTTACTGACTGATGAAGTCTTTAGGTACAACACTGAACCAGCAAGTACTTATTTCCCAGACAACTCGCTGCTTTCATTCTTTAAGGCTGTGTAAAGGTCACCTGGAATATGTGCATACTGCTGTACATAAAGTCTGCTTGTTCAGTGATACTTGATAAGCTTTGAACTCACCAACAGCAACGTTTATGACGAGCTTCACAAGCTCAGTATGAGCTGAGACGGTGGTTCAGCCACAGAACTGATGGAACCTGATTTTCAGGTGTTTGAGTCTTTAAAATCCTTTGTGAAGAACAACGTGATCGTGATGTGCAGATGGAGGCCTTAATAATTACTGGACTTCCCAGCAGCAGCATGATTGCAACCAAACCAGGTTCAGAAACCAACACTAGAACATGCCAGGATCGCCACCTGAGTCCCTGCATTTGACTTGAAAAAGCTTTGGCAGGAATGAAGACGA